GCTTTCGGAAGACAAGAAAGAAGTTAACAGCCTGATGAGTTTCTAACCAAGAAGCCCTACTCTGGGGGCAGGACTTCACAACACAGGCAAAGGCAGCAGAATGGGAAATGTGGGCCCAGTGGATGGGATCATCCTTAGTTCCTTGCCAGCTGACTTATTTATGGTCCAGTAACTAATTCCAAGCCTCACGCACTTGAATACCGCTTAATTAGTGCCCTAATTAACTGGAAAGGGCATCGGATTCATACAAGACAGAGTGAATACTCTGGCAAGCAACACCTATTGTTCATTCTTGTATCACATAATAACTAGTTTCAGCGTGTTTGAGATCGCAGTGACAGCTGCGGAGAGAGAGAGGGGCCACCTAGCACCAGTCACAAGTGATTTACTTCAAACCCCTCTCCCCTCCGCGCTGCGGGTGCCAACACACACAACCCTTTACTCTTCAGCTGTGCAGGCTTTACCCAAAACAGGAAGGAGATGAGGCAAATTATCAGTAAGGTTAATGATTTTTCTTAAACTTTTGATTCTAACGTGACTCCCAGAGATATCGAGCATGATGAGCACCGAGGTATTCTTGAGCTGCTAGCACAGTTGGGAAAGCAACGGTCCTCACGCTGATTTTCCACTCTTTTTACTTCCCTTCTTAACTCACTTTTCTGCTCAGTTTGACCAAAATCAGTCCATCAGCAGATATCCAGAATCAGTTCTACCAGCCCTTAAATGTGTTCGCTCTCATCTATCTGCAAAAAGTGATGTGAGAACTCAAACAGTGTCACTGCTACTTGATTAAGCGAGGAGTATAAAAGCCAACACCATGACATTAAATAAGGGAGTCCAAAACGGCGTCAGCTTTACCTGGAAAAAGCCAAAAGCCAGCGAAATGAAGAAGCAGGAAACTATTTTCTCCAATTCAAAACTCACCAACCCACCTTTGTACCATGTTTTCTAGCAGTCATCTCAACACCTTAATCCTGACACTCACCCTTTAAGAACCCCGGTAATAGTTGAGAGGAAATTATGTGTAATATCTTCAAATAAGCAAATGATCTTAAAAGGAGAGAAGCTAAAGCACAATGTCAGAATTAGAGAGGATTTAAGAAAAGCTCTATTAGAAGGAAAAAAAAAAATTCTCTTTGGCACTGTCAACGCAGAGCTGACTCCCAACCTGCACATGCTCTGGAACAGCATCATTAGCAGGTGGGGAAATGGAAATGTGACTGAACCAGACTGTTGTAAGATAAGCGTAAGAGCCAGGGTGTAAGTACTTACACATTTAAGTCATAGCAGTTCTTTATGCTGATTAGCTCTTCAATATATTCCTTCTTCACATCTGGGAATCTTGCTTCCTACAGTAGGAAAAGCTAAAGGTTATGTAGGGATTAGAGGAGTGTGTAGCACAACCTAGCAACAGCACCAAAGAGAGAGATTTATAGGTAATTATCTGGCATGGTCCTGAGACAAGGGCCAAAATGGATTTCAAGAGGCCATTTATATCCATCCAGCCCAGACACTGCAAGCTGCTGGCTTTCCTCGGCTCCTCAGGTAGGCTGCTAGCAGCCCTTTCTCACAAGAGCAGCATGGGTAGTGATGAGAAAAGCCATGAGCAGCTGGCCTAACGAGTGATTCAGGCTGATGGAAACAGGAGAGGCACATAGGTATGATCTACAATGCAGGCAAAGCTAATATTTACCTTCAATCAGAAGATTAAGGAGTTCCAGATTGTGTGCTGAAATACAACATTCCAAAGCAGAAGGAAAAAAACCCAGCAATACACGCACCCCCCCGAAGCACTCAGACACAGCTAGCAGTGACATCAGAACAGACAAACCTCTGCTGGCCTTTCTGCGAAAGCTCTCCCAGCGTCAGCCACGTAGCAGAGCAGCCCTTGCTGCTCTCTCTCGGGTTTCTGTGCAGGTATTACAATCGATTGCACCACATCGTATTTTGCTTTGCAAGACTGAACTGGCCGGGGTTGTCAAGCAGTCCCAACAATGCAAGAGCACCTTCCTGCCTCTGAGCATGTCACTGATCAACAAGGTCTTACTCGGAAGAAACTAATCTTGTTGGACTGCTACTTAAAGGGTATTTTCCTCAACCCCAGTTTTCTCAAACAGAATCAGACATGGGATGCGGAGGGAAGACTTGGAGGAGGTGGGAGAGGTGGTGTAAGATACAGATGCAGTAAAATACGCTTGCTTGCAGAAAAGTATTTCATAAGAAATCCAAAGAGAGACCCTTCCTCCCTAGCAATCAAGGGGAGGAGTGTGGATTAAAACATTAGACAGGTGAAGCATCACCACATTTGTTTTGTTTTTTTAAATACACACCATGTCACCCAAGCTGCTGATACCAAAGGTTAAGGAGCACCCTCTTCTTGGGCATTCAGTTCTTGCAGTTAGTGCCCCTCACGCTAAGTTTCACATGCGGAGTCAGGAAGGACTGTGTGGAGTTAACACTCACAAGTCTTCATGCTGCTTATCCTGTAATTCCTCAGTGCTACTGCTGGAAATCCACACTGCAAGAGTAACCCCTGACTACTGCGGTGGCCTTTACACAGACACGGGCCAAAGCACGCTAGGAAAGCCAGCTGAAAGCAGCCATGGCACTCAGCAGTGTCTCTACCCCAACCCTCTATCCCTCTACCAGCCTTTAGTTTCTCAGTTTTGCTCATTTAGCTCTGCATCCATCCCTAAACCAGCTCTACAGCGTTGGGTTAGGAATCAAAGCAAGCAGAACTGAAAGGACAGCAGCCTTTAAGGGAACAGACCCGCATTATCTTACCTCACCGTGCCCTTGAGACCCTGCCGTCAGTTCTGTTAAATCTCCCTGGCCAACAGCCCACCTTGAAGCAAAGAGTGCCCTCAAGATTCGCATCCTCTCACCACCTCTGCCACAGCACTGGGCTTTGCCCTTCAAACCCACATGCTCCTCACCTGGTACACAGCTGAGCCTCCGCCAAGATGAGGAGGATTTTCAGCTAAGTCAGGGGCTTTTTTCAGCTAAGTCGAGGGCTTAGCTTTGAGCATGCGCCAAGATGAGGAGGATTTTCAGCTGAAGTCGAGGGCTTAGCTTTGAGCATACGGAACACTATGTACCTGGAAAAACCTGTCTCAAAATAATGTGCACACCAAAGGCAAGCAAGCCCTGGGAATACTTACGGTCTCTCTGATGAGCAGCGCAGTGAGGTCCTGGTCCTGCCCAGCAGCTCCTTGCTCTGGCACACTGCTAGAGCCGAGTTCATGAGAGCCCTGTGCAGGGAATGCTGGGCCTGGCTGCTCATTGTCTATCGCGGCCTGCTGACCCATTTCTTCCGGTGGATGTGCCGGCTGGGGCGAAGCGGGACCTGGAATCCCATCCTGCTGTGGCTCAGGTCGGGGGAAGGCTGGCCCAGGAGCCTCCTCTCCATATGCCCTCAAAGACCCTGAGTCTGCTTTGGGCTGCCCTTGCTGAGGAGCGCAACCATTTTCTACAGCACGGGACTCTCCTTCCAACGGCTGGAAGGATGGGTGAACCAGCCGGCTGTTCTCGTGGATCTCCTGGGCTGGGGTGGTTGCAGCAGTTGTTCCTCCGAGGTTTTGCTCTGGCTCCAAGTTTTCTCCTTGCCATCCCTGGGCTTCTACCTTCTCTTCCTGTTGTAGGGGAAGGTCTGCACTCTCCAGACGAATGATTTCTCTGTTAACAACAGGCTGTGCACTCATCTTTATTGCTGGAAGCAAACTCAGGCCAGGCTCCTGGTTACCAGGAAGTTCAAACCTGGGGCCATTAAGTTCAGATGGTCCAGGCTGCTGCAAGGCAAAGTTCATCTCATCCCTGCTTGGTCCAGCACTGCTCTCCACCATGTGATTATACTGGTCTCCTCGGCACAGTGGAGCTGAGTTCCCATCTTGCAGATACACGCTCCTGAAGGGCTCGACAGCACTTTCAGATCCTCCTTCCCCCACAGTGTTTGCACCCTGCCACTGAGCAGCAGGTCTGATGACATTGGGACGCAGAAGCTGGTGATGCTTTGGGGTCTAAAAAGAAGACAGACAAGAGTAAGTAGGAGTTCTCGTCTGCCTATCAGAATCCTTGGTCCAAATCATCTTTTGCATGTAATCAAATTTCTAATGGGAAACAGTCAAAAAGTCTGTTGAGCAAAGTACTTAATAAGGTATAAAACTGCCACCCGCAGACCTCTGGCTCACTGGACTCCCTCCTCAGCCTGTCCCTAGGTGCTAAGAGAACATTTGGCAGACCTGGGGATGCACAGGACTTTCAGACCGGAATGATTTCCTGACCTCACCTCAGTCTCCACTTCCCTCCCAGTAAAAGAGTCTGGGAAGGAGGAAGTAACTGATGGTGTGTTTGCATTCTCAGCAATTTATTTAAACAGGCAGCAGTAACAAAAGCTCAAAATGTTAATCTCTGGCCTTGTTCTTGCCGCTGGCAGACAGACTGCTGCGTGCCAACAGAGTCTGAATATTCTCTGGTACTGTTTTCAACTAAGAAACAGAAAGGTCAGCTCTGCAACCCATTTTCTCAATGCCTCTGGTTACTTTAACAGAAGTGTGGAATATATTCTTAATGTAACTTAGATATGAAATTAGACACTTAAAATAATCAGGGTAAGCTAAAGCCTTTGGCCCTTCTCTGTGTTTGTAAAACTGCAAAAATGTTGGGCTGTTGCAGGCACTTACAAGAATCCAAACAGCACAAAGGAACATAAAGCTTACGAGGTCAAACCAGGCACATTGTGAAAATCGCCTTCTGAGGAAGATCAAGTCCGCTTACAAAGCACCCCACCTTTCTGGATTAAGATAGGTCACTTTATGGAAGTTACAGCTTTCATTAAGTATAAAATACAATGCAGGTCAACAATCTCGTTCTCCTCTCCTGTGCCCAAATATGATTAAACACAAAGCCTGCGAAATGCCATCATTTCGACATTCATTTCAGACATCCTGAGTAAACTGCTGCAACCAGACAGGACTCTCAAAGGAACGCATCAGGTATTTGCACAAGAGTTGGCTGTAAACGTGTATGAATAAAGCAGGGCAAGGAGAAGAATGAAAAATTACCTCTGCCAAGATGACTACATCATCGTCATCTTCCTCATGCTGCTGCTCGGCTGGTGTTTCCAGCAACAAAGGTAATTCTTCATCCGAGGAATCTGATATCATGATAAGACCTTTGTCCCTGCAGTTTATCCAGTCTGTAGTAAAGTAAGTAAAGTCAGGTATCTGCTCAAAGTAAATAAAAAATTACAAGGCACAAGCACCAGAATACCCAAAGCGCTCAAAGGTCACGGGTGGAGGGACCACGACGGCACACGCCTGAAACAGTGACCCCTCGAGACTTCTGCAGAGATGCTTCTATCCCAAACTTCAGGACGCGTCAAGCTGCTGCAAACATGACTCTGAAGAAGCCGTGTTCACAGTACTTCCTGCTCTTTGCAGAGAAGCCCCAGATGTTCAGTATCTCGGGGACAATACCTGTTCTTATTAATGTGCAGCGCATTCTAGGGGAGAGAAGGTTCTCTGGGTAAATCGGCCTCTTCGGAAAGAGCGTGACTGTGCAGGAGTACCTTATGCAAGACAGAGATAGGGCCCCTGACTGTGGGTGCAGAAGATATCCTGCTTTCAGATGACAACCTTGTCCCTCAAGGCTCGTCAAGAGCGGAATATAGATACTACTGAGCACAGCTACTGGAACTCCAGAGAGACACTTCAGCCAGGAACAGAGGGTTTCTGTACTGCACAGCCAGCCTACAACCATGCTTGCCCTACCGCCTGACAAAATGTTTTGGCTTATGCCTTAGCACAAGTATCCATGAATATTCATTTATCACCTTTCAGGCATACACAGAAAGCATCACTCGGAATTCTGCTCCTGGAGGAACAGGTGGCAATGTCCACAGCGATGTGAGGGTCTGAGCGCAAAGCCAGCCTCTCTCCTCCGAGACACAATTCTGTCCAGCCAGGACTCCAACCCCCCCCCACATGTGGATCTTTTCCTGTTTCCAAGAAGTCAGGAACCTGATGCATCAACTCACAGAGCGAGGCTTCTGCCACCATCTAACTGGCGAGAGGAGCAAAAGCCACTTGCCTGAGCTGCCAGAGGGCAATACCGTATCAGCCTGCATCTGCAACGGAGCAGCTGATGTCCTTACAACCCCCCCTCAATGCCAGGCTGTCATGCCATGCACACGTGCCGCGTGAAGGCTAGCACGGGGCGGGCAGCCGGCACGGGTCAGACCTGGCAGCCTGACCACGGAGGAGCCGGACCGCAGAGGGAGCCACACGCTGACATGGAGACACCAGCATCCAACCCCACATTCCCTCGTGTGCCACCAAGCCGAGGCACAACTTCGGAGCGACCAGAGATGCTCTGAGCTCGCTTCCACGACATCCACGCTGTTGGTAAGTCGGAAGGAAGCCGCAAGCTTGGCAGGGCAGTACACGTGCCTTGTGCCTGCACCGTGAACGAGTCACGCTCATCCAGCACGCTTTCTTGCCACCGCCTGCTATTCTGAAGAAGAGACTTCCCTGATTTACAAGTCATTCCCTCCCCAGTGAGGGTTTGGTACAGATTCCAGGATACGCCACCTGCTCTCAAACCAAAAAGAGAGCACAAAGGGGATCGGGGTCCTTCACAAGACTGAGCTTTTGGGACTAAAATTTGCTACCCCCACCTGTTCCCAGAGAAGCACAATGAGCCGGCTGGAGGCTCCCCAACAGGATTAGGAGATCAGAGGAATCACTGCAAAGGGAACAGTAGGTTTCCATTTTATGCTCTGTCAGCTTATAGCTCTCAATTCCCACTATCGCGGAGCAGCTGAATACCTACAGGAACTCCAACCACAATCTGATCGCTGGAATGAGAAGGGAGGTCCTTTTTATTGAGAAGTATTCATCCCATTATTAGAGCAGGGAGAAATCTGGATTTTTAACTATTTATGGATGCGTAAGTTGGAAGAAAATGGTGGGTCTGCTATAAAATCCCATTTGCTAGTACGCAAGAGCAGTGCAAATTCCTCCTCGATAATTCTACTTAACTTCCTCTGCAGGGAACAGGATTTGCATCCAGGACAGCACAATGAAGGAATCCGTTCTCTGTACTCGTACCTACATCCCTCACCGAGGAACCAGTCGTTACCATCATCAAAATAGTTTAAATGCAGAATAAAATAACAGAAGTAGGAAAGCGTAATTTAGCACGTAAAGGCAAACCCCAAGCCAGCCCTCACAGAAAGCACACGCTGCACAGAGCTGGCTGGCGGGGGCAGAAGGGTCTGCACAGACCCCGTCCAAAGCAGCGGGGTGGGCGAGCGAGGCGGGCGCGCTTTCCTGGCTGCGGGGCGGGGGGCTGGCGTCCCGCACACAAAGGGTGCCACCTGCACGGCTCGCGCCACCGCCACGCTTACCTCGTCCCAGCGCTGGTGACCGTCCGAGGGGGACACTGATTAGGGAACCACAGATGCCTCTTCTAACCAGTATTAATACAAATACGCAATTACTCTTCTATTTGAGCCCTGAAACCTCAGTAGTACACCCTATTTCCAGCAAGCAGCTCCAAGAATATCGTGGGCATACTGATGCTTCAAAAACGTTTCAGATTTTGGGAGTGTTTCCACGAGGTTCTTCGGCTTCGCTTTTTTAGCAAGGAGAAATAAATCTTACTTTATTTGCGTGAATGGCACGAAAGTGCTGCTCTCATCCCTGCAGACAGGTGCTGGAGCTCAATAGCTGGATTGCCATAAGCAGTCGGTGAAAACCCTGTCACGTCCACATTATAACAGTTGTGTTTTCCTTGATGCTGGTAAACAGCTACCACCTCATCCTGCATAGCATTCTTCCATCCTTAGACCTCTCCGTACTTCAGAATCGGACTCACAGACTGGTTTGGGTGGGAAGGGACCTTAAAGATCATCTAGTTCCCACCCCCTGCCATGGGCAGGGACACCTTCCACTAGACCAGGTTGCTCCCAGCCTCATCCAGCCTGGCCTTGGACACTTCCAGGGATGGGGCATCCACAGCTTCTCTGGGCAACCTGTCCCAGTGCCACCCCACCCTCTCCGGGAAGAATTCCTTCCTGATGTCCCATCTCAATCTGCCCTCTTTCAATTTAAACCCATTAAATAAACAAATTAAACCCACTTCTGCTTCCCAGCAGGGTGATCCCACAGAGCACTCCTTGCCACAACCAACCACCCCTACACAGCCAGCGACCGCCTTGTCTCAGCTGCGCTTCCCCCAGCCTCACGCTCAGCAAAGGAACCTCTTGGCAGGCAACAACGCAGAAGGATCGCTCCGAGACTGGCTGGGGAGGGACAAGAGTGTTTGTGAAAGCCACAAATCGGCTCTTACAGCATCAAGCAGAGCGAGGCCAGACAGGTGTCCGCACAGATCTGCTCCGAGCCAAGCTAAGTGCTTTGGATATTCCTCTCCCACGGGGTCACGCAATGCGTTAGCAGAGCTGGGGATGTGTGTACACGTGGGTGGCTCAACACTGCAAACGCTCAGCACGCTCACCAAAGAATTCTTCTCCCAAACAGCTGAAACGGTGCTTTGTCCAGTGCTGGCTAAACCACAGCTAAACACATCCAAAACAAGGTTAAGTCACAAGACCAACACTAAGAACGTATTCTCCATAGGCAACTCTGGTAGAGCAGAACTTGCACCCCTTGAGCATCAAGAGAAAGGTATAGGAAATAATCTGAACTGAAATTGGGGTCTCTCTACCTGCCCTGTACAAGGGAAAGATGAGCACGCATCACCGAAAGACTCACGGTGGTTTAAAAGCAGGAATATAATAAATAGCATTAAGTGTACTACACAGTGAAGGCAACAAATTAAAAAGCCAAGCGTGGAAGGAGCTGGCAATGCACCATGTTTCTGTTTCAAAACAGACCGCACAAAAACCCCAACCAGCTTAATAAAGCACTGCTTTGAGAGTAAGCGCCAAGCTTCCACCGAGAGCTAGCAATTCATTTTGTCGATACTCAATACAGCGCCCAAGTTTAAACAAGTATCCATAACTGGGCCAGTTCCATCTGGTGGCATGAATAAGAAGTTTATTCCTGTTTGTAGCACTAGGCAGCCAAGAACGTGAAGTAACAAGATCAAAGCCACCCTGGGGTCTTGCCCTACATAAACATCATCAAAAAAAAAAAGCAAGACAGATGGAAAGAAGCTACCCCACACCACCGCAGTGATTTCAGTGCCTATTTATAGGTAAAGAATAAGGCTACCTATAACCAAACTCTAACATGACCATCATCTTTTTTGCAATACAGTCAAGGACAGGATACTGGAACCCTTTTAAAAGGGCCTGGCAGCAGGTAGATATACACTGTAAAACCTTTTTTACTATCCTTTCTCTTAAAAACTCTCACCTTCACTACAACACACAAACTCGACTTGGGACTTGAACCTCTATAGAGCATCAGGGTGACCCGAAACTCTCGGCGTAACACCGAAGCCACCCGCTGACAGCGCGGTGAAGATGGCTGCACCGAAGATGGGGTTCCACCAAATCTCCCCTCTGTTTTCCACATTACTCCATGTATTCGTGACTCTGCACATCCATGCTGTTTCACTGCACAGCCAACGATACCCTCCCCGTTCAGGTTTCTCCTCCAGCGATTTAAGAACCCATTAACGGAACAGCTACTGGAAAAAAGCCAGAGGCCACCAGGGACTTGCAGGTTACTGTTCTCTGCACTGGCTGCATCTCAGACCGACAGCTGGAGTCGCACGTACTTCCCAAACAAGCTACTCCTACCTGCAACAGCATCATCTACAAACCCACTGGCCCCAAGTACCACTAGGAGCCGACGGATCAGCTGCTAGGAGGCGAAGCAGCTCTCAGGTGCACACAGGCTGCTTCCCCACGGATTCCCTAAGCCCGTTCAAAATCCCTGCAAACGCCACGTCACATATTTCTAGCCTAACCTAAAAACACCTAGCACTGGTACGGCGCGGATATTCCAACTCCCCGCATATTTTTTTTCATTCCTGGACTGCAGTAACTGGAGCAGAACTCGAATCTGCTCCCTCCACCTCGTGTTTGTGCTACCATGAGCATCTTCAGACGGGGCTGGGATGTAAAGCGACAGTCGAGGGGAGACCCCCCTCCTCGGCAGCGTAATGTATTTTTTCCCCCTACGTAACGCATGTGAAATCTTTAACTCCCACATACCCCAGACGGGA